GGGAACAAGGAACTATACGAAGTAGGGAAGAAGATCGGATTGCGAATAAATCGGAAAAAGACTCCGTCCATGAAGAGCGCCCTTTGCGAATATGCGGAAACGGACCTGGAAGGCCCCTATCATGGAGACGTATTCTTACGTGTATCTCGGACGTTCGATGAACATAGAGAACGACTTGAGGGAAGAACTTAACAAGAGAAGAAGAGCAGCTTGAGCCGCCTTCGGTCCTCTGAAGGAAGCCACTGACCAACTGATGGACCCAGAGCTTTGTGCCCACCTGTTCGACTCAATCGTTCTCCCAGCGCTCTGTTACGCAGCTAAGATTTGGGCCGACACTGTAGCCACGTTGAAAGCTCTACGCACCACCCACAGAGCGCTTGAGCGCAGTCTTCTGAAGATGAGCCGACCCAAGCAACATCTTGTCGGACTTCGCAGCACGGATATGAGAAGAATGTCCTTCGTGACCCAGCGGAATACGTTGCGAAAGCCAAACACCGATGGGCCGGTCACATAATGAGAAGAACAGACGATAGATGGACATTAAGAACATCGGAGTGGCCCCTGGAACTCGTGGACGCAGCCACCGACGACGATCAAGAAGATCGTGGATGTCTGAAGCGAGAGACAGGGATCAATGGAGGCTTCTTACTGGGGTCGCACGTCACCTAAGAACGGGACATCTAAGTATCTAAGTATCTAGATAAAGGGTTTCTCATAGACGACGAAGGAAAAGACGAGAGGCAGTTCGTACTCCCGACAGCTTCTACGACCCTAGCGAATGTCTGGATGGGTACATGCAGCTGAATCATTTGCAAAATCCAACTTGTTTTTGGGGTTGGTCTTCATTTAGTATCCTTGAAATGCCAGGAAAATCTTCTTGAAAAGCTTGCAGAGCTCAGCAGGCGGGCGAAAGTTCCGAGAATACTCCCGTTCACTCTTCTTGAAGAGAAGGACGGTCTCCACTGGTCAGAAATTCTTTCGGATGTTAGATGCGATGCGAGAATCTCGAGTAGTTGTCCTCCGTCTCGCAGAACATCGGGGGATATATGAGTGATCTGGTCTTCGAGCCGTGAATTTTCGGAATGGCGTTACGCCCTTTTCTGCAGAGAATCCTTGGTGGTACCTCTCCAGTGGTAACAACGGGCATCGGCACGGATGTTAATAACGGAAAAGGTTGGCGTAGAAGTTCTTCGCAATAGATCCATCTTGTGTCAGGAAGAAATCGGAGTCCTGTCTTCGTTCATTAGTGCGGCCAGCGGCACGGGAATTTCGCAGAAATCCCTTCGGCAGTTCTTGAATCCCCGTCTTTCTTCGGCGTTAGTAGTATCTTATCTTGCTTATAGTTCCTAAGATTCCCCTGCAAAGCTGTTCTGCAAGTGGCATCGGCCATCAGTCGCTCGAGATGGGTGTCTAGCAGGAATCCATGAGAGATTTAGCTGCATCAATTATGTCTTCGATTACGGTAGGCCTTTGATAGATTGGAACTCAATGTAACTAGTTTAATCGAGCAAGGCGTGGACAACGCACATAAAGGCAATAGCAGCCTGCGTAGACTGCACCACTGCCTTAGCTCTTTGATCGCCTGCTCCGTAGCCATACAGGAGAGGAGAAAATAATCGCAAAAGTTGTTCACTGCCGTGCTACAAACATATATATAATCAGGACAACGCGTAGCCATCGCCTTTCACATTCCGTCAGAGAAGCCGAAGAGATGTTAGACAATTTGAATTTTAGCGGAAGAAGAATAGGATTCAGCTTAAATTGGAAGTAAATGTAGTTCATGAAGAACAAACATGGTGCAGCGAGGAGCACCCATACAGGGATGCTTCATAGGTAAAGTCCTATATCTATGTTCATTTAAGACATCCCATCAATATGAGCGAAAGGAATCAGCATTTGGTGCCCCTGAGAGGGTCAAGCCGTTTTCACTCGGACTTAGTGTAATAGGTCGCTTGAAACATTGTGCTCGATTGGTGTCAGGCAGGCTTTTAATTGATTTTACCTGTTACGAGGAGGAACATCCTAAACTTGGATCAAAATACCTCAATAACAAATAAAATATGAAGACTAACGATACTTGCATGCGAAATTCAGTAAAAGCTTACAGGGTGCGCCAGAATTATTTGCGCGTGTATTCTGCAACGCAAAACTCGTGCAAGACGAGATCAGCGATAGGCAAAAAACTATTTTGTTTCAGTAACGTTCTATCATTAAGAGGCTACAGCATGAATTGGAATTTTTAAGTGTGGCTTGAGAAATACCACAAAATATCTTACTGATTAAGTTGCGCGCAACACGCAGGTTTTTTCTCAGATAATCTTCTGCTTCTTCATAAAAAAAATGCTCCTGTGATGCAACGAACACACCACATGATAGAGCAAGTTTTCGGCTGCAACATACTGAAGCGCAAAGTCTAGGATGGTCTGACGAGAAAAATTATCTGCGTTTGAACAAAGTTATATGTTTGCTGCATGCTCAAAAACTGCACATTTTAGGGGTGCGAATGAGCGAAAAAGCAGAAATTGACTCCAAATCAGGTTGGTTCAATTTCATCAGTGGTAAAAACTGAATATTTATCTAGAAGCTTTGTAAAAGCACTATAACATTGAGTCCGGGTGATAGGCACGTTTCTGTAGCTTACGAATGTGATCTAAGAACGAAACGCCACTGACACGGGGGTGGCACTTGCGCACTTTTTGTTGCCATTTTTGGAAGAATAATTGTTGGCGAACACATGTACTACGAATCGATAGCGCAAAGCCTCCTTTACACTGTGGACATAAAATCCCTTAAAAATGTCTCAAGAATCTCTAGTTACGGAATGAATTATGACTACCAAAAAATTAGGTTTTTCCGCCTTCCACAAGTATTAATACGACAATTTCATTATTTGCACAAAGGTATGGCAATCACCTTGGGCTCATAAAACGCTATTTTGTAAAAGATGATTGCAGCATTTTACCACATAAATTTTGAAATCAAAATTATGAGTAAAATTTTGAAATCAAAACTATGAATAGTTTTTTTTGCAGCACTCATGCAAAGTTGACGCAAATACTTTTGACGCACCCTGTATGCTTCTGATTATGGCACAAGTGGCTAAATTTCGTCTGATGTATTGCATGAATGAAGTCAAAGCAAGAAGGAAGGCAGGGATGTTCACAATGAATGAAAGGCGCGGTTGATTGAGAGATGGAGCAGTGTTTTAAACGAAGCTCGGCTGACTGAAAAGAGTAGCTCACTGGCTGCGGCGGCTTTTTGCACCTGAAACAGCCGCTGTACGAATAAATGACTCGCGAAGCGCCTGACAAGTACAAAGGAATTTATACTCGCATTTGAAGAATATCCTCCACGCTTGGGGTCCCATCTTATCAATGCTGCAGTTCCACAGCTTTGTGTTACTCTGCCATGGCTGATAACTCAGCGAACGAATGATTGAGCTGACACAGAGCTCTTAAAGGGAAGCTTTTGGAGACAATCAAGTTTAACACAATCCGAATTTCCGCAAGCAGTGTCCCGAGTTTGGGAGCACCTCAATTTCACGCATCCCCTGTCATAGCCTGACTGCGGCTGCAAAACTATCTGAAGGGAAAATAGTTTGAGCAGGTTGTAGCATCAATTCGTTATTGTCATTTTAGAGCAAATCGCGCCGGATTACGCGGCTGCAGCCAATAACATCGTCGCAACGGCCGTGTTTCGGCTCGCTTTCTGCTTCGGTAAGGCTGTGATCGAATCTGAGGGGCGGCTATGTCGAAATATTGGGAGCGGTCTTGCTTCAGAAGCGGCATTTTGCAGCAGTGGTGTATGGCAGCAAACCGCTAAAATTGAGATGCTCCCATATCTGCCAGTGAATTGCCTGCAGAATCCAGCAGAGTATGCAGAAGAACAACCGCAGACGGGCATATTCTAAAGGGAAATAATGGAAATGGAATTAGAGTGGATGGGGCAACATTGAAGAGGTGTTGTGACGCAGTAGCTGCTCGGGTAATACAGCTGGGTCAGCTGTTGGATTCTTATTCATGTTCATTCGCAATCGCAACGTTGTCCAGAATGTGCATGAATGACGATGGCCCGAACCCAAAAGAAATGCTCAAAAGATAGTTTGTACTCCTAATTTTGAATTGCGAGCGATAACGCTGCGGCCGTTCCCAGCGTAGCGCCTCTCCCTTTGAAGATTTTCATGCATGTGCAGCTATTTATACCTTGACACTGGACTTAGAAAGAAAGCGAGACTGCAACGTACCATCTCCTCTTTCTTTAGAAGACGATACACTGTTTGGAGATTTTGCATGCAATAACGGTAACCTCAACTCCAGCTATGCTTATTTATGGATTGCATAATAATCTCCAGAGGAAGATGACAAGACCAATTAGAACTTAGGGCTGGGCCGGAAAGTGATGTATTCATACCCGTATAACTTGTCACGCAGTAGCTGATAACATTCCCAACTTGTCACTACCCGTCCTTCTAAAATGATTATGTATCAGAATGCTCTCCTTCAAAAAACGCTGATTTAAAATTTATGGACGCTATGTGCCGAGCGGCGTCCGTGGATACAAAGGCAGAGTGGTTGCACCAACGCAAAACGCGGCATCCTTTGCGTGATAATCCAGCACAATGAATATCAACTATACCCCATCTTAAGCACTTATCGACATAGCCTGTACTTCTGTGCAAACCTCGAGCGCTGCCTATATTCCTTCAGAGAATTCTTCTGCAGATAAGAAACGCAGTGGAAGTGTCTAGGTGAAAATCATGGCGCTTATCAAAAAATCAAGATAATTATAGGCTACTGCTTAATGAGGGCCTAAAATCTAGGGATGCGCACACACTGTTTAATTAGCAGAAGAGCGCATGACGTGGGGAATATACAACTGTAGAGACACACGCCGCCGAGTTCGTGCATGCTCAACTACTGCTTTTGCGCTTTCGCATGGAAGTAGGCTTTGATCCTCACCTGCGGGTACCGTTATTATCATATATGGAATGAGCAACTTGCCTCAAGAATATCGACTAGAAAACGATATGTAGTCAAAGACAATCCATCATTGAGGAGTGATTCGCCTTCGATCAAGATTCGTAGACTATGAGGTGCACCGTACTGTTCAAGAATGGCTCCCACAGCAACAGCATCAGTGGAAACGAGAATTGCATTGAATAGGAATACCTTGGTATTATTGCTACAATCAAAGCAACCCAATAATCCTTTTTTACCGTAGAAATGCTGAATTGCTGCGTTTGAGCCAGGATAGGAATCATGAAGGCTGAGGCAACAACGAGAGTGCTAAAGTATACGACAGCCGTAAGACATACAATAAGCCGTACTCTCGCAAAAAACGTATGAGAGTTCATTTTGAACGCGGATTCGAAGAGTAGAGGTGGTAGCATAACCTACAATCAATTCACGTGAAATTCTAGGGCCGGTTAAATAAACCATCGGGCAAACACACCGTCATCAAAGTCTGTGGATCTAGGGATACCCAAGAATAACGACTTGACAGGCTTTTGACAACATCCGCTGGTAGGAATTTAGTCATGGCCACACTGTAAAGTAGAATATTTGTTGTGCTTTTGAGCAAAAAAGCAACGGATTCAGATAAAGTTATATGCTGCTGAATTCTCTAATTCAGAACTATCATTCTTGCCTGTCTGAGTGATGTTACAAAAAGTGATTCTTGCTAATTATTTGAGAAAGCAAAAGGCCCAATTTTCATCACATTCTAAGGGCCGCATGCACTAATATCCCCGCGGGGAGGGGATCGCAGCTTCAGAAGAAAGCTTCATATCCTGAAGCTCCGGTTATCTGGATTTCACGCTGTCTACCTAGCCGTAAGCATTCCTACTACCCTTCACTATGAACATGTTGAACAGGAGCGAGAAGCTGTACAAACCGCATTTTCCAGCTTTTGTATGATCCCTGATGATCCCCGGCGCTTTTCTTTAAAGTCATTTTTCTTTCTCCGAAGTTAACGAAAACCTTCCAAAGTTGTACTGAACATCTAACACAATACTGCTAAGCATGCTGCTGATGAGAACAAATGAGTTTTTGAAAAGTCGAATTTTTCGGTAAGCCTCAAATTTCGACCTGTGGATCATCGCAAATTTCATGACTTCAAAACATCATTTGTTCTTAGCAGCAATATGCTTAGCACTGTCGGGTTAGACAATCTGTACAACTCTGGAGATTCTTCGTTAACTTCGGAGAAAGAAAAATGACTTTAAAGAAAAGCGCCGGGGATCATCAGGGATCATACAAAGGCTGGAAAATGCGGTTTGTACAGCTTCTTGCTCCTGTTCAACATGTTCATAGTGAAGGGTAATAGGAATACTTACGGATAGGTACACAACGTGAAATCCAGGTATCTGGAGTTTCGAAATATAAAGCTTTCATTTAAGCTGCGATCCCCTCCCCGCGGGGATGTTAGTGCATGCGGCCCTAAGTGACAAAGTTCAACCCTGAAAAATGACGTACCTGGCACACAATGCAATCACAAACTGCAAAATCGTATCCGGTATTCCAAGAAAACTAATACGTTTATTTACTTCGTCCAAGATAAGTCCAAGCATCAGTGCAAGGACAGGAAAGACAAATGCGTCGAATTCCGACGATAACATCTCTGATGATCCTGAAGAGGTAGCCGTAGCTGAATCAGCCACCATACCTCTGTGTACCTTGAGAAAGAATGAAGCTTACCAGTTTATAGCTAAAGATTGTGTGATGCTGACCTGTGTGAATTTCTAATTCATAGGCTCATATGTGCTGCTCTGTTAGTGGGAGGAAAGTAAGCAAAGCTTGTTGATTTTTACAGCATTATGGCCTGCAATTCCTGCGTGCTCCACAACTGACAGATAACGGTCCTTTCACATTTAGTTAAAGTGGGTCTTACAGTAAGTTTAATCATCTGAATCACTGTAATAGTAGATTATTATTTAGTCGCTTTATTCAGTAACCAGTGCGCCACCTCTGCTTCGCAGAGGCTCGCACTGGCCCTACTTTCTGTATGCCTCACTCGTTCCCGCATAAGGATGACAGTGAAAGTTACCGCGTTATGCAGACTATCACGAATGGTTTGTAAACAGTACTCATTCCTAGAGCTTTTTGTGCGAGATCGGTATTTTCACGTGGATGAAACTTTTCTCAGAAGAATAAATGCAAATTTGAATAGGTTTGTGGACTTTTTATGGCTTGGTAGTCGCCATAACGGCAATAAACATAGTGGGCTACATCTCTGTGCAAAAATCTTCTCAAATAATCACGTAAAATCCTGGGAAATTGAACATTTACGCAACTAATACTTTTTGGCGCCATCTTCGTAAAGTAACCAACTTTAGTTGAAATTTTTGGGCTGAAGTCTACGGCTTGTACATTAGCTTGTCAAACATATCCACGACTTTGCAAAAAGTTTATATACGGACCCACTTTTGCTGGTCAGAAGTTAAGTGGACCCGTTTCACGCGCAGTTTCTAGGGGATCCACTTACTGGATCCGCTTGTGCTTTTGCACAATGGACTTTCCTGATGCTAGGACATGCTATGCAAAATTTGGGCTCGAGAGGCTGGCTGGAACTTTCCCTACGAATTTCGTAACGGACAGACAGACAGACACACACACACAAAAAAACGTAAACAACCCTTAGCCCGTTATTATAAGTTATGATCATTAGAATCTAGGAAAAGGCAAACTGCAATACAAACTGAGGGGCTCACATGCATGCTGTCGAGCGCAGAAGCTACTCTCGTATTCCTAGGCTAATAATAGTCGATAGTCCTTCCACAGAAAACGTTAGTGAACGTTAACGTTTTGATGCGCTCAATAATTTACGTCGGATCAATATAGCACTTCTTCTACTGGCCTATGATAGGTGAAAGATCATGACTTAACGTCTGTCCCCTAGAAATGTTTTCATAGGTACCTCGTCAGCTCGCTACCTTTCCCTCTTTTTAACCCGTTAACTTCAGCACCTTTGAGATATTTTGTCGGAGTGAACATGTCAAAGCGATCGAAAGGCAGCGAGTGACTACCCAGGGAAGCATTTCCGGGGACAAACCATACAACGATCCTAGCTATCACGTTGGCCAATAGATAAGTTCGTTTTGCCATTGAGGTTTTATAGCAATTCAGATGGCGGCTATTTAGTCAATGTTTTTTGTGAGAATATAGCTTCAAGCTTTTACCCTCAAATATCAAGTGCAGTCGAATTATTTCGTGTGAACATGTGTGACACTGCACACATCGTTCACCTTTGGTTCCTGAATCGTGGAGGAGATAACCTTTCATGCAGGTGTTTTCGATGTGTTTTCAATGTTTTCTTTCCTTTTTAGGTACGATTCACCTCAAAGGGATGTAAGCGATAGCATTCGGTAGTTCTCCTGCGTTCTGCGATTGCAAAACGATGAGGACGCCAAAGATGGACGGTATGTGCGGGTGCACACATGATCATATGAAATGATTCGACTGTAGTCGATATCACTACTTACCAAAAAATGACAATTTTGCCCTTATATGGTCAAGAATGAGAAATCGTTTTCCTTTTTGAACTTCTAAGTTTCGCTCTCAACCTCTAGTGAGTCCACAAACGAGTTCATTGGTGGTGGAGTACATATACATATTATTATGTCGTCTGTTTGAGCAGCAACCAAGATGATTCCAACTTCTATTCAACCAGCCAACGTTTCGGATTTCTCGCCTTTGTCAGAGCCTTAAAAGTCGAATGTATATGTGAAAGATTTTCTCGGATGCCAACATCAAAGCTCAAGATGACATGTAATCCGTAAGCAGTACGAAAGCCGAAGTAGATTGACGGAGAGCCAACTAAACAGGCACTCACCTTGCATGACACAACAGGGGTGCATTGACCACCTAATGTAGATAGGAGCTCTTTTTCTGTTTGAAAAAAAAACGAGGTACAGTTGCCCGATTCGTGTGACATCACCGTAACGTGGATGTCTCGCTTCAGCGTGGGTGAATTCATAATCGAAGAACAATCATTCGACTCAGCTCGGCACGGCACATCATCTGATATATAGAGGCCCGCTTGGACACCGTAGGAGGCCAGATTTCACGAATCGTTTCAGATTTTTGCTTTTAGTAGGTTCCCGATAAGTGCAATAACACACTGAGTGACCTTCCGTAAATCTGAGAAAATTCGTGAAATATGGCCTCCCACTGGGTCGAAACAGGCACTTTCATAAATCAGAAGCGCCGCGCCGAGCACAGTCGAATGGTGCCTTTGGATTAAGAATTCAACTCTGAAGCGAGATAGGGCCATGCTGCGGTGATGTCACATGAATCGAGCAAATTTGAGTATTTTTTCAAAAAAAAATGCAAGCGGTATTGTATGTGAGCGATTGCCGATCGGCGTTGTTGTGGAGGTGATACTCATTCAGTATTTCAGACTTTTGCCTTTACATTGGGCTGTATATCGCTCTTTGGATGTACTTCCAAACATTTGATTATGTGCTTGTTTCATTGTTTTGACTGAATTAAAATGAAAGAAGTTTACATAGGTCCTTTTAACAGACAAAAAAGTGCCTTTCATGTGTCATACCAGTCGAGCAGGGTTATACGAGCAAACAGTTAAATACATTCCTTTGGCGAAAAACTATTCGATTATACAACTTCTACAATGAAATATTTGTTACGACTGTCAACAATTATAACAAGCTGCTTACATTCAGAATGGGCAATTTCGGAACTGACGACTTCGTTGATTGGCAAGTCTTCAAACCACTGACTCACCACTTCCATAACTTACAGGCGAGGGATCACTGGTCAAAGTGGCCTCTCAAGAGAGTTGCATGTATCCTTGGAGGGAATCGAAACTTACTTAGATACTTAGATGGCCCGTCCTCACGTGACGTGCTTGCCCCAGTACAGAAGTCGCCAGTTTTCCCTGTCCCTCGCTTCAGACATCCACGATCTTCTTGGCCGTCGTCGGTGGCTGCGTCCACGAGTTCCAGGGGCGAAAGTCGTATCCAGCTGATTTCTCAGCTGGTCCATCCGTTCCACGAACACGTCTGCCCATCTCGTCGGTGGTCTTCCTCGAGGACGTTTGGCTTCGCGAGGAATCCACTCCGATGTTCTTAGTGTCCATCTGTCGTCTGTTCTTCTCATTATGTGACCGGCCCATCGGTGTTTGGCTTTCGCGACGTATTCCGCTAGGTCACGAAGACGGGACATTCTTCTCATATCCGTGCTGCGAAGTCCGACTAGATGTTGCTTGCGTCGGGTCATCTTCAGAAGACTGCGCTCGAGCGCTCTGTGGGTGGTCCGTAAAGCTTTAGTGGCTGCGGTGTCAGCCCAAGTCTCAGCTGCGTAACAGAGCGCCGGGAAAACGGTTGAGTCAAACAGGTGGGCACGAAGCTCCGGGTCCGTCAGTTGGTCAGTGGCTTCTTTCAGAGGCCCGAAGGCGGCCCAGGCTGTTCTTCTTCTCCTGTTAAGTTCTTCCCTCAAGTCGTTCTCCATGTTCATCGAACGTCCGAGATACACGTAGGAAGACGTCTCCATAATCGGGGTGCCTTCCAATTCCATTTCTGCATCTTCGCAAAGGGCGTTCATCATGAACTGAGTCTTCTTCCGATTGATTCGCAATCCGATCTTCTTCCCTACTTCGTTCAGTTCCTTCAGCATCGTCTCTGCTTCAGTGATACTGCTCGAGAAGAGAACGATGTCGTCCGCAAAACGAAGGTTGGACAGGAATCTCCCATCAACTCGTATGCCTCTCTCGTCCCAGTCCAGTGACTTCATCACCCACTGCAAGGCCGCGGTGAACAGCTTCGGCGAGATTGTGTCGCCTTGTCGGACCCCCTTCCCGGGTATGGTCAGGGGGCGATGGAATAGCTGCATCGTCGTTGTACAGTCCAGCAGTCGGCTAACGTCCTCACGTAAGCTGGGTCCACTCCTTGATCGACTAGCGCAGACAGGATGGCGTTGGTTTCGACGCTGTCAAAGGCTTTCTCGTAGTCGACAAAGGTTAGGACGGGAGGCAGTCGGTACTCCCGGCAGACTTCTATGACCCTCGAAACGGTCTGGATGTGGTCCATGCAGCTGAATCCTTTGCGAAATCCAGCTTGTTCTTGGGGTTGGGCTTCATCCAGTGTCCTTGATATGCGAGCGAGGATAATCTTCGTGAAAAGCTTGTACAGCACACTCAGCAAGCATATTGGACGGTAGTTCCGAAGATCCTCCCGTTCACCCTTCTTGAAGAGAAGGACGGTTCTTGACGTTCTCCAGTGGTCGGGAATCTTCTCCTTCTGAAGGTAAGATGTCAAATGCGACGCTAGAATCTCGTGTAGACGGTGCCCTCCGGCTCGCAGAAGTTCGACGGAAAGATGATCTGGTCCTGGAGCCGTGGACGTCTTCATGGTCTGTATCGCGATACGCACTTCAGCAGGTAGAATTCGTGGTGGTACTTCTCCAGTGGGAACAACGGGCATCTGCACGGGTGTTGATGAGCGGAAGAGGTTGGTGTAGAAGTTCTTCGCGATAGATTCCATCTTGTATCGGGAAGAAGTCGAAGTCCCGTCTTCGTTCAGTAGTGCAGCCAGCGGTACGTAATATTCGCAGAGGTCCCTTCGGCACTTCTTGAGACTTCGTCTTCTTTCGGCTGCTTCCAGTATCTTGGCTTGCCTGTACTTCCTGAGATCCTCTTGCAAAGCTGTTCTGCAACTGGCGTTGGCTATCAGTCGCTCGAGATGAGTTGCATTCGGATCCTGCCTCAATGATCTTCTTCTTTCGAGCAATTCCTTGGTGGTCTTCGAGATGCGGTCCAAGTTCTTCTCAGAAGTCACTGAGGCGCATTCTCCGCAGGCTCGCAATCCTTTCAGAAGCCGGTCGTAGTCGTACGTTGGGTCCTCCTCGATGGGCCAGTCACAACTTGATATGAGCTCCTCCAGCCTGTTACCGTCATAAACGACATTCTTCCTTCTTGCGGCACTGTGGCAGACCTTCTTTTCCAGCCTTCGAATGAATCGTACCTTCGCTCGAAGGAGGCGGTGATCGGAGCCACTGCAGAAAGATGGAACTACTGAGATATCGAGCAAGCTCCACCTTCGGTTGGTGAGAATGTGGTCGATCTCCGCGTGGGTCGTTCCGTTGGGCGATTCCCATGTCCACCGGCGATGTTCTTTCTTCATAAAGATGGAATTTCCATGGAAAAGTCGTGCGGCGGCGAGAAGCCCAACAAGACGGTTGCCGTTTTCGTTCCGGAGCCCATATCCAAACTTCCCGATCCTATATTCCTTTTCCAGTGGCATCCCGATTTTTGCATTGAAGTCGCCCACAACATACTTGTAGAAGGACTTTTCGTGCGGACGACCTCCTCCACTTCTTCGTAGAAAGCATCTAGTTCTGAGTCGTCAGCTGCTGATGTTGGCGAGTAGCAGTTGATGATGCTGATGGTCTTCTGACGTGGAGGGCGTAGTCGTTGGATGCCTAGTCGAGGTGATAGGATCTCGTGCGAATCGACAAGATGGACGATAGATGGATGGACGACAAAGCCGACGCCTCCCACGTTTCGTGATGGAATCTTTTCACCACGAATGGTGAGGGTCCCATCACTCACCTGTCGCACGTCCTTCTTCCTGGACTTCGTTTCCTGCAGAGCGATGATGTGGAAGTTGATATGCTCTGCAGCGTCGAGAAGAGCGTGGAGGTCGGCGTTTGTGGAGACTGTCCTGGCGTTGTAGGTGCAGAGCATGAGGCAGTCTCCATGGCGTGTCGTCCCGGCAGACGTGTCGTTTTTGTCCAATCCGAAAGGCGCTCTGAGTACCCTGACATCGTTCTTGCTACCACCCGGCGCCGTAGGCGGGATACGATGTGCAGGGTTTCTTTCTAATCTTCTAACTGGAGGAGTAATATGAATTTTCCCCTACAAGAGGTGGCTTACTAGGCCTACTCTTGACTTCCACGGGGCGATCGCTGACCCAGGGCTTGGAGCGGGGAGGGACCGCCTAGCGACCAGAAGAAGCCAGACGGCGGAGGATCTGGCGTGGCCAGTTCTTAGCTAGGCATCCGGCCGAAACCGGAAACGTCGAACTCCTTCACAGCTTGGGAGGCCCTACCAGAGTATACACTCGGCTGTGCATCGCAATTCGACACCCAGTGTCACCCCCACGCCACGATGAGACGACCGACCATTGTGGGGGGAGGGGAATCGAAAGCTATTTCCAAATCTGTCTTCCTTATCTGCGCAACACCTCTGAGTAGGGATTTATGAGCGTTTGAAGAGCCAAAAAAGATTGTACGCACAGCAAGGTTGAAAGTGACTGTAACACCTTGTACGACTCACAGATGGATCAGTGTACGCATAGAGCAGACAGAAATTATTCTTTGCACGGAAGTGATTTAACAGACAACGCTGCCTCATTTAAGCTTACGGGGAGCTCCCATGATGATTTCCTTCTAAAAGCCACTTCGACCAAGGATCAGGATCTCTTACTGATTAGAGACCCTCATTCACATGCATACAACTCAAAATAAGCTCATGTGACGTCTGCGATAAGCTAGCTGCTTATTTACGTGGGTAAAAATTCTCGCTCACAGCCCTTATTGCGGTATGATTCATTTTTATAGAAGTTACTCGTTATGGCGACGGCACGACCAGTGTGAGCGCAAATCAGACTGGCCAGATCACGGAACCGCTCATGACGTCAGTCAGACAATTTCAGTAAAAAAGGACCAAGTGGACCAATTAACATACTACCAGACATTCCATACAAGAAGACTGAGGCTACGTTCAAAATGAACAAAGAGGCAAGTCATCATCTAGACGGATTCAGATGCTTGGTAGAAGCGACGAACACTGTGGGCAAATTGGCTAGGTCAAGCAAGCTCTTAACTCTGTGTAGTAATGCTGCAGATAACCAAGATTCTAATGACGTCTTGAAGAGTTTGGAACCTCGAGTCAGATCTTATTCAATAACTTAGGCCCGTATGCACGTACATCCCCGCGGGGAGGGGATGTGCGTTATACCATTGAAATGATCCCCGCTGGGGATCCCCTCCCCTCCCCGCGCGAACCCCCGTATGCACAAAGACAATATCGGACAAGGGATCCCCTGTGGGGAAGGGAAGCGAACCCCCTTATGCACAAGAGGGGATCAAGCGGGGAAATCACCTTGCTTTCAAATTTTCTATGAAAAACTCTTTCTTTTTTCATATTTTGACTGCAACTCATCTTCAACTCCTCACTTTCAATAATTTAGGGTTGCGGAATGCGCGTATGCAGTGACTGCGCTCGGATCACCAAAAATGATTTTTTTTTACTCCCATTATGTTCTTGCTTTCTTTGATGCTGCCCACTTTCGCTCATGCTGCCCCATTTCAGCGCAAAAATGTTGTACCATAGAAGTTGATGAGTCTCTGCAAGGGAATGGGTAGAAGACGTTATGCTGCCGAAAAGGGGGGGGGGTGCCGCGCGGACGCTCAAAGCAGTATTTTGACACATAACAGATGCTGCAAATCGTGCCAGCTCTCCATAAACGCTGTAGCTACAGCTGCATATCGTCTTTTATCCCAGGGGAATGATCCCCAGCGGTCATCCCCGCTATGCACAAGGGGAACGCTGGGGAGGGGATCACTCCCTTGAGGATCTCTACCCAGAAACACGCGATTCTGCTAATTTTCGTTTTATAAAAAGCAGTTTTACGTTAGAATAAAAAGATAAAGAAAATTTATCATATAATGTGATAGTCACAATATGTTGTACCAGCCTTTATGGATAAAACAATCATGTCAAGTAGAAAATGCGCAACTCTCGTGAATGGTCTCAAACTTCTACAGATATTCCAAATTGGCAGATGTATGTCCGGGATTTTTTACAAGAAGCGAATATGGAAGAGAGAGTTACAACTGCAAGCTACAGGTCGCTGAGAGAGGAACCCGGCTCCCGTAGAAAATCTTTCATCAATTTGAACGAAATGCTTTGTAATATTTGACTGAAATTAGAATACTCGCTTCTCTGGCTTGACCTACACCATCGAACCCCTACTCCGTTTCAGGGGATGTCGATCCCCTCCCCCGCGTTGTTGAGTTACACTCGTGCATACGGGGATCGAGTGGGGAGGGGAAAGGGATCCCCTCCCCCATTCGAACCCCGTATGCACTGGGGTTCGCTCGATCAATACCTTCGAAACCATTCACACCATCCCCGCTTAGGTGCAGGGGAGGGGATCGCTCCCCTCCCCTCTGTCATGGCGGGGGTCGGCGGAGAGGATCGTTCCCCTGGGGATCCAGCTCCCTTCCCCTCCCCAGCGGGGACGTACGTGCATACGGGCCTTAGGCGCCAAAGCAAAAATGAGCACTCGACCATCAAATATTTCAAGTTGCTTCAGCGGGTTTGACCATGAAGTACCAAAAGTAATCGAAGCAGATAGCACTTTCTTGACTGTACTATGCTTGTAGAAGTCCCGTTCCCTTCCATGTTTATCACATGGGATATTTTGGATGTATCTCTTATTTTTAAAATCGACACGAATTTGACTGCGGTCTTTGCGCACACAGGAACATGGAACATCCATACAAACAGGCATAACCGCAATGCTCAGCTCAGTCACTTCCAGTATCTGAATACTATCATATTTGGGAAAAAACCATTCGAGCAGGTGTAGAAGCCTAGAAATGGAAGCGCGTGTGTGTAGCGCGCGGTCGCACCACTGTCACGATTTTTTGAATGCTCTGTTCTTCGAGCCACGGTCATTGCATACCTCATCAACTAAAGCAGGAACTCGAGCCATCATCATGCAAAATGAACCCTACCTCCTCGTATTCGATTTGATAAGCTCGTTTGAAAATCACTCTTTGACGGAGCGGTTGTCATAGAAATTAGGTCAGTCGGATAGTCTTAGGTATTCTTAAGTTTACTGATTGTTTACCATATCCTAGAGTAGAGTGTCTCCATCAAATTCTTGGGGACAGGGGTGATGGATGTGATGGACTATCGAGAACAGAAGTTGCAAAGCCAAAGCTTGACTCATGATCCATAAATTAGGCTGTTAATTAAGTTTTGCAACTGAATCCGTAATTTTACGCTTCGTGATACTGGCGGGCTCATTTTTTAATATTGTATAGATTGCTGTGCGAGCTACAAACTGGCACAAACAGCTTTCTTTTTTGATGACTGAACCAGCAAAGATGCTGCTCCAATCATTATGGGCGCTCAAAGCGATTACATTCTCGGTCTTGTAGTTGAAATAGGAGCGACTACGACCGTTTTATGAACTTCCGCTTCATTATTCAAGGTTCAGCTATCATTTTCAGAATGATATTGAAGTCGGTGACAACATGATGATCATGAATATTGCACCAAGTGCATTCTTTACGAATTGCGCTGAGCTTATCGCAGGTACGAGCTCGCCATCTCTAATGGCGAACCGAGGGCGGGGGGGGGGGGAGACGGCTCGCGAAGTTCTTGGATGTAGTAAAACTGCACAAATGACATTTGAAAAAATTTTGGAAATGACTGATTTCACTTGCAATCAAGATGGTTTTTGAAGTTTTCCAAATTGGAGCTAATCTTGTGAAAAAAATTTTTTTGATGATTCTCGCCTCTGGGACGCCCGCAAAAACTTCAGAAGTACTCCTAAAATTTCCGATGGGCTACTCTACCCCTCCTAAATTTCTCGGACCGCCATTGCTCTCACATACTAAATAATTAATTCAAATTCATATATGTCAGGCGACCGTATAACGAAGATCAACGCCATGCCAGTGAAGACAAAGGCCGAGGCGGTAGCTGCGCTAAAGGGCTGTGTGGGAAGCGATGTAAGGCCTAAATAACTTGTTGAACCACCTTAATAACATCTAAGGGATATACCGTAATACTACAGTAACCCCGATCGTGTTTCGTTGTTTACAGGTCAGAGTCGAGTTGTTACGGCGTCAATTCACTAGTCCAGTAACGGCAGAACGAGCGAAGAAGATAGGTTTAACACGTCTGGATGGATTTACTTACTTCTTACTCACTTGTGTAAAAGTAATTTATAAACAATGAAAATTCTTGCAAAAATTTTGTCTAGCACTTTTTTAGGAATCAACTGACCCTGTCTCATCATTCGGTTTCACACTCAAGCTACTTAAGAACAGAGCTCACGTCATTGCTGTGAGTAGACAATGAAATTTCCAAAAAAGCAAAAAGTCTTGAAATTTTAGTTGGACCCAAAGGGAATAGCATCAATCTATTTTTGCATTGGTGACGCTTTATTGGATCTTGATGGCACACCAATTCCATTCAATGATATTGAGTTCGTCCGAGGTTATACGCAAAAATTCAATAAGTAAGTTTCTTCGCTATTCCGATATAATGAAATGAATAAATCTCTGAAACTCACCGAAATTCTAGCCCTATGTATCTTCGAAAGCGTTAGAAATAATTGCAGTTTTCTCCAAAACGAGCTTTAAAACTGCAAGAAAGCTTTCAAAAATTAAGCTGAAATAATCCATAGATCCTACCTCTCAAACTGAAATTTGTCTTTCAAACCCATATAAGTTGTGCGCTTTTGAGGAACAATCGCTTCACGGTCGTTATCGAACGTCCCCTTGGAACTCAAGCACTCTTTATGTATAACATGTTGTTCAAATTGATGGTAAATACTTTCAATCTCCATTTTTTAAAAAAACATCCCTAGATCATACCATATCTTTCAGCTCCCGCAAGAATCTGATGTCGAAATGGGACCAGATGCGGTGCTGATCGGGAAGGTGAGACTCTTTAGAACAATTTGCGTCGCTTTAAGTTACTTAACTTTTAGGAAGCAGCAAATATGCATCGAATGGTTTTTAGAAGACTGAAACCCAGGAGTGTCTATGGGCCAAGAGGTAAGGTTTAGTTACCCAAGCATGATGCTGTAATATAAAAATTCCTTACTATGTTGAAATATTGCAGCAGCTAATGCCCCACGCAATGAACCAACTTTGAAAACTTTGGATGTGTCAGAAAAAGCAAAGAATATACGTGTAGCGGTAAGAATTCAAAATCACTGCTCTCATAAGGACATCTTAAACTTTTACTTTTAGTCGAGTGCCATGGAGCTGAAAATTGCTTCGGATATCGAAGATGAAGATGAGCTGAAACCCGTTGACCGAAAGAGTCATGCAATGTTTGATGACTTCTAGATTTACTCGTGATATTGCAATAAAGGTCTTTCTACGGAAGCGATTTCTCTACGAGGTAACATCTGAAGGCAGCTAATTGAGTCATATACAATTTTTGAGCAGATAAGAAAGTTACTATAAATAAGCATTTAAACAGCAGTGAACATTTTTGTCTCCAAAAGATTGTTGAAAAAATCAAATCGCTATTGATATTGCACAAAATATATATCCTTATGGAAAAAGTGATTTCGAGAAGCCGTGAAACTGAACTAAACTGAACTTTGGTCTTGATTGGAAGGTGCGATAATTGCTCGGGTGAGAAACTCCCTCCTCCCCCCCCCCCCATAAATAAGAGAATGAGGAAAATGATGACACATAACACCCCTTCTTTGTTTCAGTAATGTCTCGCATCCAATCTGAACATAGAGGTTAAATGATGAAGGCGTACAAACCACATGCTGCTTTTGGCATTTCCCCAAAGATCCTCTGCTTGTTTCTTTCCAAGACTTTTGCAGGAGATAGTTTTGCAAAGCAAATCTACAAAATCTCCGTGGAACATTAATACTAGTTGAGGAACAATTAAAGAGCTGACCACATAAACTCTTAGGGAGAAGCGTTTAATTTCGAAGCGCAAAAAACTGTGATTTTACTTAGTCATCGGTGTACAGGTTTCAAAGGTATACTAGCATATATGATAGACTTTGTTATAGTCTGAAGAAGGAGATCAAGTGAAGTCATACTAGAATGCCCAGATTACGAGAAAGGAGGATCTATAGCAGCTTCAGTTCCTTTGTTGTCAAAAGATGAGGAAAGTTCTTTGAGCTTGAACGCATAGTACGAACAAAATCGCTTGTGAAATTAAGCTTCTGCGCCTGAAGAACTTTGCACGCAGGACGGGGAAAGTTTCATGGCATCTAAAGTATTGTTCTATAGATTTATGACCTTTTCATGGAAATTGCCTTCATTACTTTCTTTAGGCCTCGGATAGAGTTCACACGATTTGATCGTCGCGATTCAATCGCTACAAGACAACTGTTATGAGTTCATTGCATGCCGATCAGCTTGCATTTCGGTTGTGATACTTTTTCCAGCTCGAAATTGGGTGTAAAATGAAAATGAATGAAAATCGCGGCGATTAAATCGCGACGATCAAATCGCGTGATCTGTCCGAGGCCTTACTTTCCTTTCATCTAGATGGATATAATTTTACAGAAAACGACTGAAATTACCAGACACCTATGAATACGTCAATGCATCCATCAATTTTGGATTTTCTCCCTAATTTTAAGGAATCTGAGCGCCCCCCCCCCACTTCGTCGAATTCGGTCCTAATGACGCTGCAGATTTTATAATTTACTAGATGGCTCCGCCCGGCCTGTCATTATTTTATTCGTAATCAGCATGTTCGATTACCCCTCTGTACCAACTCCCAGCCCCGTAGCTCAAATTTTGCAAAAAATCGATAAAATCGATATCGATCGATGACGAAAAGTAGCCTATGACATCCGCCGGGGCCCGAAGTGTATGTGTGCCAAGTTTGGTCCAGATCGGTTCAGAAATGGAATTTTCTATTCGGAACATACGTACAGACAGACATACAGACAGACATACAGACAGACAGACATACAAACAGATGTATATGGAACTTACAATTAAAAGAGATAGTTCTTATTTGGTATCTAATCTAGTGGCTTCGTGTTCTTTGCAGTGCTCAAAGCAAAAGTGCAATGGATGAATGAGCGAGTCGATGACTCAGCCCAGAGCGGCAAGGGCGATTGCACAACATTGCGTTCGTTTGCATGCATTTTCTACATTTTCAAGCTTAATAAATTTGCGAAGACCTAGAGCTAAGCAAGTTAGCTCCGTTACACATTTCTTCTTCTCGTACACTAAAATTTCAGAAATTTGTGGAAATTTTGCGTTTTGACGAGTTTCCGTACTTAGGACATTCGTGTTTATTTATTGTCGGACAGAACTCTCTTTTGCGTAATATATTTTACTTACGTGCTTCTACTCTTTCTATTCGTTTGTTTTTAATCGAGCTCTTCCCTCACTTCAGAATCGTCAGACTGTTTTCGTACAAAACAAAGTACATTTTGACAAAGTGCATCGTCTTTGTCTGCATTGGTAAACAACATAGAACTGCACACGAAAAACACACTAGGGCACGTCTAAACGTTCCGACCCCACTTATTCTAAGCATGGTGGGGATCTCTTTGGAGAGCTTGGCAAAGCCTAATATGTCAATGTACAGAGTTTTGCAGCGAAGTACACGATTGCATGTTATACGGATCAAGGAAGAAAGAATAGCTTATCCTGCCACTGATGTTGGACTAAGATTAATTCTCTGTAATGGTTACGTGAGTTACGTGAGAGTAATTTGATGTCAAAAATGCATCAAGCTGCAGGTTAGCTGTAGCTTGTGACGAAAAGTTTTGAGATGTCAAAGAACTGCACAAATGTAAATATTAGATCGCTCCATCTGAAAGTTCGTGCCGTTTTTGAGACCTATCCCAAAAACCGTCAAAATAAAGATAGAATAACGTTCCGAACCATGTCCGATGCAGAATTCTTGCTCTGCCTATTGAATTGGAAAGAAAAGAAGCTTACTGCAAGGTTTTTTTTTTCAGCTAAAATTGATATTTCTCAAGAACTGGGGCATATCCGGAACCAAAATTTTGGGTTAAAAGCAGGTTTGTATGCAATGGATATGGGTAGTTCAGGACTGCTGCCATTTTCCGCTTACCAGTTTATTTTTTTGATTTCTAAGCATGAAAAAATATAGCAAGTGTATTTATCGATAAGTGCATGTGTCTGTTAAGGTTTGTACGAATTTTTTTGGAGCGAACTTGCGATTTTTGGCATCGTTATTTGTTCACATATTTTGGCTTCAAACTCTGCATAAATAAAGACTGCTGCCCCTAAAGGTCATTTTGTAGAGCTTTCTTTGCTCTATCGAACGCTATCCTCGCATATTTTTTTGTATTCAACTTATTGCTTTGGCATAGAAAACGGCATTCATTTCTTTCCAACCTAACAGCTGTGGTGTTCCTGTTCCATTCCTTATGCTGCTCAATATATGTCAGGATGTCCAACCCATGGTTTTTACCTACCCTTATTTTGGTTGAGTACGAAAATATTCATTTCTAACTTTTGGCAAAGTTGGATCGGAAAGAAAACCTCCAAATACGTCTAAAGATCAATGTGCCCCCTTAGCCCCTACGCCTGGATCACCCTTTTCATTATCCAGTCTTGGAGACACTTATGGTTCCTTACGATGACTTTTGCAGATAGAAAACTTCCTCTGCAATGAACTGTTCATTCTACTAACAACTAATATCTATTGAAAAAACCAATTTTCCTTATTCACATGAAATCTGCTTTGCAATTCAGCTATTACAATCGTGTCGAAAACTCCATTTTTCTTTTTTACTTCAGAACCTCTTTCAGGCTATCTAGATAGCAGCGATGTCATTTGCTGCCGAGGAAGTGCCTTGGTAAGATTAAGCAGCCACTTCACTATTTCAAGGTAGTTTTGTAATTTGCAGTCCTGATAGAGCACATAGAGCAAGGCACGGTAAGCACAGGAGATATATAAAATCTCCGAACACCTCTATGTATATCACTAAAACTTTACATGATCCAGCGAATACCCTAAGCAAGGTGGGATTGGAACTCTCTGAATATTTCGATCTCTACCCACCATTTCAGACTCAAAGGAAGAAGGTAATGGATGAAAAAATTGATGGTTTCTCTGCAGACGTATCGTACTCACTGAATAAACATAAGAGGTGGAGTTGTGTAAGTTTTTGTATTCCTAAACTACTGCAAAAGGAGGAGCTGGCTCTATTTTAGAAAAAATGATTTGTGAGGGATTTTCCAAAGGGACATGTTTTCTGCTTTCTTTACCAAAGTAGCATATTTCAGATCAATCCGTCCTCGCTTCTGAAAGCCTCTGAAGAGAACACCCCAGAGATGATAGTTGTGAAAAGAAATGATATTCCTTCAGATGGTAATTTCGTAACTTACTTGCCATCTCTACATGTGCATCAATTCTAAATTTGCCATATTCGCTGATTTTTTTCTACAGAGAATGCTGGTGGTAGTGTCACTAATGTCTCAGTAATGGAGGATGGCGTTATTAAAAAATTGTCTAGCGGTGGAAGAAGAAAACCAGTAAGTCTACTAAAATGCTTTTACTCTCTCTAAAGGTTCAATTAGTTCTTATTGCAGCTGAAATACTTCAATAATCAGATGAGGGAGTTGAGGCAAATAGATAAGAAAGCAGTAGAACCCGCAAGAATACTTTTCAATATTACAACGGATGCCTCGTCATTGCAGTCATCCAAGAAGAAGCCAAGGCGAAGTGAGTCTGTTTTGACAGGGAGAAGAACCTTCATTTCACTAGTGGTCTGACTCAGGGCCCGGCAGGAGGTGGCATTTCAGAATTTTGAAAACGATATCCCCTTTGAAGCCAAAATTGCTTACGACTTCCCCTTTGACCCTATTTTTGGCCCCCGTAAGTCCCTGACAAACAGATATACACAAATAATAAGATGGGCGGCCTGAGCGCTTATTATAGAAGTACTACCTGGCTTTCCTTCACTTTTCGGAAAATTCCTCACTTCGGAAGATTCCAAAATTCCCCATCAGCAAATGAATACATCTTATTAGTTTTATCATTAGCCGACAAGACAACTGTTACGAGATCATTGCATGCCGACCAGCTTGCATTGGTTGTTTACGCGAATCAATCGCGACGATCAAATCGCGTAAACTCTGTCGTGTAATAAGGGATCGTCCAGTCCAGAAAGACATTGAAAATATAGGTCTCGCTGATCCACAAAAATATTGGAGGCAATAAAGGAAAACACACAAAGAAAAAACGGAAAAGTACAAATGTGATGTACAAAAACGAATGCAAAAATTCGATGTAATGTAACATATTTGCATAAATGCACCATTCCACCTACCTGAGATAGTCCGATTGAGCCTCAAATTGGTGAACTAAGTGCGAGGTGCTGTAGTCGAAAATTCTGACATGAATGTCATCTGAGCCGGTAACAATACAGTTTTGCGTGAAATGAACTTGGCAGCGCGCACTGGCAAATCACATATCTGAAGAATGCGCAAGATACTGGATTGAAACATAGTAAGCAACATAAGGCCCCAGCCAGACTTCAGTTGAACAGCCCAAAACCGCTTAAGAACACCGAAGGCCCCTTTTCACTAGAGATGAGCTATCTTGACCGGAGTCTGGCAGGGGCCTAACATACAAAAATACATGAAAATTCAAAAAAAAATAAACCTACTTTGAAAGACTTCAGAAGCAGCTGACCCTCGTAATTCCAAATCTGAACACTTCCACTGTAAAGAGCTGTCAATAGCCACGTTTCCGTGGGATGAAGGTCCACCGATTTAACTCAACTCGATCTTGTCAAAAACATTTCCTCAACTTTTGATGACAGCACGCCTACAACAACCAGAACAAAGGAAAACGAAGAAAACAAACGACCCAAAAGAGCGAAAGTACGGAGAAATCGACCATATTGCGAAAACTGAAGAAGCACAATTACAAAAACAACTTTTTGCATAGAACATCACGACGAAATATGATCTCTGGCCCTTCTGAGCCCTTGTAGGGCTTGTCGAAGAAGCAATCTGTTCAGAAATCGCGTGAAGATTGCTTCAATCAGCGATAACTAATTCAGAAAAAGTCAAATTCTCGAAGTTTCCGCGTCGTCCGTGCAAGGTGCACCGATCGCGATTGGAGCGCGCTTTCCGAGGCCGATCATAACGCCGTGAACCCTATTTGGGGCTGTATCTAAGCGGTGCCCTGGTGGTTTTGGAAGCGGATTTGAACATGTAGTGATACTCTCGACCTAGTCCACATTTATGTAAAGAAATCCGGGAAATTATGTGAAGGGAAGCAGGGAGCCACCCCAGGTGGCTCCCAGGTGGCGCGGGAGCCACCTGATTTCGAAAAACACTTACCATTTTTTTAATTCACATAAGTTTTTCATAATTTTTCATACTTTTTTTGTGCTCATGGTCCTCCAACTATACAGCAAATTTGGTGCCATATCGTTACTTGTGCATTGAAAACGAGCCTATTTTGTTATTTTCCTCTTACAAGAATTGCGATTTGAATTCCCGCCTGCGGGAAGGCTAGCGATCGGAGCACAGAATCTTCACATTGCTGGAATCTAAGTTCATAGGACAGTAGCATCAATAAGGAATGATGAATAAAGAATGATATGTGCATTGTTTATCGGTAAAACAAAGAAGAAGTCGTATTTTGGGATCCGGGGCTCCGCCCCGGACCCCATAATACGACTTCCCCTTTGCTTTTTCGGGCCAAAAACGATATCCAGCTTGTGAAAGCGCCACCCCCGCCGGGCCCTGGTCTGACTCAACTTTTCGTCTTGAAAGGCCAGAAGTGGTGGAGGAGGGGAGGCGGGGAGGGGGTAATCTTATATCTGCCCCACCAGCTTCATCACTCGGCTAGCTTCTTTGTCGGGCTCGGAACGAGCTGAAACCGAGGAATTTCTGAAAAGAACTCCATTGAATCTACAAAACATTCAAAGTCCCGTTTGACTTTTCATAGCTCCCCTCCCCCCCCCCCCTCCTTTACATCTAACTTTTTGCCCGCAATTTTGGAACAGCCTAGGATAAAGGGGAAGGCCGAAAAACGAAGAAATGCCTTTCCCTTAGTTATCATCTACTTTCCTTACCTATGTCCTTATCCCTCTAACCCTCCACCTCGCGCTCCCACCCTCCCCTCTTCCCCTCTTCTCGTGCGAATAAGAAGAATTGTTAAAACAACATTAAAAAGTACATTGAGGTCTAGGTAAACATAATGGACACCGTATGCACAGCGGAAATAGCTTTGATTGTCGGTTTGCTTAAAGGCAGCGTCCACCAAAATTTTGCCTCCCATGTTTTTGCCATTCTGGGGCCTTTCCGTGGCTCTGATTACAGATATGAAGTTCAAATAGTCCAAAACCCCCAAAAAAATCCGATCCTGAGGACCCTGTCTTTGAAGGATCGGGCCGCTTTCAGTACATGGGTGAGCGCAGTCTGATAGGATCTGATCGGGGTCTGATGGCACTTTGGCTGTTCCAGGCCCCTTATCTCCATTCAGGAACAACATTAGAGGGCCGGACAACGCACGATGCCCCTCTCGTGGGGCCCACATTCAGGATCTACCCTAATCGGAGGGGTTAGATTTAGCCTGGACACTGCCTTTAAGGGTACGCCTTGCGACCGGAGCAGATTATGCCGCCAATGGAAATTTTTTGTCTATGAAGCGGCCTGGAGAAAAGATTATGAAACACAGGTTTTATGAGGTCACTGAATAATCAGATATTTCTAGCACACAAGCGTAACAAGAATACTGTGAAGATCGAAGATTCCGATTACGAAAAAATCCAGTGTTGGTGGGACAAATGCAGAGAAAGCCCTGCCTACAAGTTTCACGGAGAATCTAGGTGACCAGCATGCTTAGCCATTATGTGTAGGGATTTTCCGTGAATTTAAGATAATTTAGAACAGCCACTCTTGGTGACTACTTGCCTGTAAACCACGAGAGTTTACTGAAGCCGAGACGTTCAAAAAGTTCCTCATGCGTGAAATACTCTCATTCTGATATATCCAATGAAGAAAATAAGGTTTTTGCTGTTTTACCCAGTTTACTGCAACACTATACCTTGTTGCGAAATTGAATTTCTAATTTCAGGCTAATGGCACAAAATTTATTGGCCTGCAAAATATCACTGATGCCACCAAAGCTGCACATATATTTGAAATTATTGATTTGGATATGAAATCTTCTTACGATTTAGAACAAGTAAACCAATTTCAGTCCCAAGGGGTTGACTTTGCGTCTTTTCGCTTCAGACTATCACCAAAGTACCAGAGCAGTATACTGTCACATGGTGTGGTACCAGTAGGGTATCTGTAGGTACCCCACCGTTTTCACAACCTAAGTGTGTAGTTTTCTTTGAGAAAACTAGGAAACCGGATACATTAAGGTAGCTTATAAAACATCATATGATCCTTTTGTACTATCCCTTGTTCAGGATTCGGATCAGCATAGATCGGCCTTACCTCCTGAGGTATGATAGAACCTACATCATTGACTCGATCACTGCCGCTGCTAAGAAAGATATCTCTATAATTTATGTGCAAATCATCGACTGTCTGAAAGAAATGAGAAAAATGTAAGTGATATCATAATTGCAGTGACTGTATCCTGTTTTCAAACAAGAGGCTTTCAACTAATTCAAAAACTCGGTGTTGAAAGGATTTCAATGCTTTTAGCTTATTTGAGTCTAATTGTGTTGTTCCAGCTGCAAAGTTAGCGAAAATGATGACAATCGAGTCAGTTGGTTCCCGGAATGTTTTATGTCTGCTGTTAACAGCACATGGATAGCGCCTAATGTGAGTAGGCTAAGGTTCCAGAAGCGTATCAACATAGTTTCTTGATATCACTTTGTTCAGGCCATAGGATTTTCCGAGCAAGAACAGCTGAAGTATCTAAACCAGTTCTATAATGAGTGCTGCTCATCGCAACTTGATTCCTTCCAAGCATCAGTAGGTAATTTCAATGAGTATACATCATGTAATAATCATATGTCTAGGAAGACCCACTAAAATGTTGTTGCTGCCGCATGTCAGGCTTGGACGATCTTTTTCCTTCATTCGAAGGAATGATGTGCAAAGATTGTGTGGTGTCCAGCATTACTCGACAACTTCGCACTAATCATTATCCCATAGAAATTCCGGTGAGAGTACTTTGTCTTATACTATCTCACCTATTGAGCTACTTTGAAGATCACTTCTGGCGGTGAAATGTCCTCCATCGAGTTTCTTTACGCAATTCTACCCATGCCTGTCATAAGATTATTGATAAGGGTAAGCTTAACAAGAAAAGTTCTTACTACTATCATTATGACTGTAGAAAAAGTGGCGGCTTGTAGCAAGTTTTATTTGCCATTCTCGTTGATCATTGATAGAAACGTTGACGAGCCATTTTACTGGTGTCCCAGTGGAGGGCCGTTTCCCTGCATTTTACATTTGGCTATGCTTGAAGAACAAGATACAAGTGGGCGGGGCAGCTCCGCCCTTTGAGAAGCCCCGCCCACTCGACTAAAGTGCTGGATTTTGCTCTTGAAATATTCGAGGATTCGTGCAAATTGCAGCAATTATAAAAATTGCTACTAAATGAATTTTCAAACATTTTTCACTCTTTTTTCTGCAAGTTTTTGTGCTTGTGCAAATACGCCATAATCTTTCATAAAGGCTATTTCAAAGGACGGGACAGTCACAGATGATTCACTTCAGGATCCGATCTATGAACTATAGCAACGGGGGTTCCCATTTTCGTTTGGAGGCGGAGGGGGAAGGAGGACAGCAAAAATCTTTTTTGAATGAAGGGGGCGCGCAGCGTGAGCCAAGCACTCCGAAAAGTTTATAATATGCTCTTCAAAATTTTGCACGTCCGTAACTCCGAGATTTCGAAAAAAGGACTGTCGGCAGTTCTTCCTTCCCTTCCCCCCCCCCCATTTTCTCTTACAAGTGTAATTTAATTTGCAAAAAATGTCAAAAATTATTTTTCTCATCTACAAGTGTATACAAGTCACTTCCACATGTAAATCATAATATTTCAATGCAACTCTTTATCAAAGCCATTTAAGGAATCTGTCGCTTTTCTCAAATCACTCGATAACCCGGATTTATGGATGTTGGACTGCCCATGCTGCCTTTCACCATTGATGTTGACTGAGCGCTATGGTGTTCCCTTTTCACCTCAAACAATTCTATTCGATAGAGAAAATCCAATTTTCAGAATTTAATTGCTGCTCTTGCCCTGAGTGTGGATGTGCATTCTGCTATCTTTGTTATTCAGAGCCGCACTGGCCAATGACGTGTGAACAGTTCAAACGTTGGGTCGAGAAATGGGACACGCAGTGTAAGCACCTGAGATATGATATTCATACATAGTTATAGGAAGTTGTTTTGCAGACATTTTTGACAAAAATTACTCATTCGCCGAAGGAGTGGTACATATGTGCTGCCAATGCGGTGGGATTTTCCATGTTCGTGGAATTTCTTCACGCAGAAAACCTGATATTCAAAAAGCAGTTCAGGCTTCTTCACTACCTCCCAGATGTCGAAAATATCGCTGCTGGTATAGTTACAACGATGATGGTACGCTCTGGCACGGACACGGTCACCAATATCCATTCCCTGCAAAAATACAACGGCACATCGCTGCCGTGGGAGAAGCTGTAACGTACTGTGAAGAATGTGTACGTTATTATCGTTGTCGTCCTGAATAGTTCAGTCTACTTACTAATCTAAATAGTTGCACCCTGCGGGTTCTCTGTTACATAACATAGGCAGCTGTGGATAGAATGCAATTTTAGTAACATCCACAGAAGAAATCGAGGAAATTTTGCAAAAAATGGCAATTTCTGGAATCTCCCCGTTTTCCATGTGAATTTAGATAAGGCTGTTGCTGAGCGTATGCCATGATAATCGGTGTTTGAATGGGAAAAAATAGACAGTTACTTGCACCACCAGCCAGATGCTGAAAAGTATGCACTCCAAAATGGATAAATTAAGGTTTTAAGTGGGCTTAAACGCTAGCGGAAGCCTGAAAAGTAAATGATGTCTGGATGTAGCCAGAGAAAACGTCAATTTAGCGGAAGAGGCATCGAGTTGCGAGTGAATCGCCCACCATAAAAAAAATTCGCACAACGGACACAACGACATTATTGTCCAAAACCCGAAGATCCATGTGTTCAGCTTTTGTCTTCAGCTTCCAAAAGTTTCTAGAGATAAAATGGAAGAAATTAGCTTGTTCATCAGCAGCAATGCGCCAGAAGAGATGTTTGTGCTGACCTCTAGTCTGATATCTTTGCGAATCTGGAACCCCTATTATTAGAACTAGCTTTTCGCTCAGTGATCAAACTCTTGGCCTGTATCCACTTCAAACTTACCTCGCCGCTTAGTACCTTCAAAGCTATGAGCAGTTTGCCGAAGTTCTTTCAGAAAAAAACTCCTGAGCTTTAGTTTCACGAAGCTGTCTCAATAGTTAGGGAGTGCAAAGTGATAGTCAGGGTTAGGAAATTAGGAATTGGTATATTGTGAACATTTTTAGATTTTTGTGTAACTCCGCATCCAGTTTTTTTTGTCGGGACACCAATTGTAGCTGCAATATTCCAGTATTACAGAAGTGCGCTTCGTATTTTTAAAAGAATTTCTTAGTCGCTAGAGTTGGCAGTGCGTATCATGCTTACAGTACGTGTCGAGACGCAGACTAAGAAATGATCCGACGGTCCTCACCCCAACTGGGCGGTGCCCAACGACTCCAGTGATCTGTGCCTAACCGGGTAGCCGCGGCTTCCCTCCCCTTCCCTCACTCATTTACATATGTAACAAAGATTCCAGTCATAATATTATATAAAACAGGACAACCAGGTGAAGGATTCACCCTGATTGTCAGGTTCCAGAGTGTTCATATAAGGCAGGACAACCACGGTGAAGCATTCAGGTCGAGAGAGTGCACCTCTTGAGCTTGACATACGTCTTGTCCAGGGAACTAACTCATGTGATAAGAGACTCATGTGATAAGAGTGATTTAAGTTGGAACTAGCAAACACTCATAAATATCGTTTAATTGTTCTGTTTTGAGTGAATTTCCTTATAGGGTACTCGCACAGGGCCTTCTACTATTGCAGCTAAACAAATTATAAGCAAGTCGTTTTCTAGCGTGAGTAGAAATTCTTTCTACCGAATTCAGGCCGCAGTGGCCAAGCTCAAAATTCAGTTGTGCACCGAAGCAAGAAATCAACGATTTGATGAGCACAATAGTAGAGATTTTAAGAAATTTGTTGCTAGAACGCTTTCTTCTCAGAAGGATCGCGACAGAGTGGAGAATATACGGAAGACGGTAGTTTCCACCTTTTCGACTGTTCGTCCATTCAGTTTCATAAGCAACCGGTGTCGTTTAGATTTTGTTCCTGACCGAGGCTTGCACAGGCTGGTTGTATCTTGTTAAGCCCAGTAACTGCACCCATCTGCAGTTTGTGATCTCTAAGCTGTTTAGAAAGTTTCTCTCCGTTCAACGTCGCACATACATAACGAGGTTACCAAATTTTGTCGCAAAAAAGTACGCCTGGAAGGATAAAAAGATTTAGATATGAATTTGAAAGGGATATCAACAAGCTCGAAAAGGAAACAAAAAATTTGATTGATCTGTTTCGCCAGCAGCTCAATGTGGTCGAGTGAAGCTTTTGAACAATATCGTAGTAAGTTTCCTTGCTTTCCATCAAGGAATGATTTCCAAATAAAGTATTCAATTCTTTGAGCAAAATTGTTTTTCAGGCATTGATCGAGTTTCTCTCGTTCTAATGAATGGATACTGCCGTTGCTGATTACTATTTCCTGCAGGGACCGAATTTACTCCGATGTCGAGATTCTGCTATCAAGACCAAGAATTTTACAGCTAACAATCGAGCTAAGTTAGGTAGCTTCCTAAGTAACATATGTCCGAATCGTTGTATGTGTTTATTATTACAGTCAGAAGAATCATAATGTTGATGACTTTTCTTGTACGTGTTATGACTGCAATTAAAATAACCTCAGATTCATTTTGATTATGCTTCATATGAGATTCAAGCTCAAATCTACAAGTGAGGGAGACAGCCAGACGGTAACTGTCTTGGCATCGGGCAGACTTTTCTCTGCCAAGCAGCTTACTAAAAACCTTGCGAACTATAGTTATCCATTATAGATCGAAATCCAACTGCTTAGACAAGTATGTATAAATGACCGCAGAAGGAAGTACCAGGATGATTCAAAAGTAATGGGGCATCAGGGAATAATTGCAGTTTTTTAAACAGAAACCTATTTGGAAGTCCAAGTTTTGGCGGATGTTAGTTAACAACGATCGAAGCTTTAGATGCGCCCTGTCACATGCGTTATTTTTATAAGCGCTTAAAAATAAAGCTAAACACTCCAAATAATTTTGAACTTTTAGCAGCACCGCCGCAGTAAATCTAGTGAGCCTACCAAAGGTATCTGCGTAGTAATGGGTGAGGGGGCTGTCACCAAATCCACGATAGCCTGGTTGTTACAATGCTTTAAAACAAAAGATATAGCATTGGTTATCAGGAGACATATTATTTATTATCTCATTCGTAATTGGATGGGCTCACCCTTGAAAGTTGTTATCCAATAGAGCTTCATACGCTTTATCCATATAAATGCAATTTGCCTCGACTTTCCTCATTTTCCAAAATTTATGGGCCAAAACATGATCTTTAGCCCGAAAATACTCTCATCGCACTTTTCGAATAAAGTGCCTTTTTCACACGAAATCATAGAGAATGGTTTTGAGTATATTTGAGCAATCATTAAAGAGCTTAGAAAGCTCTTTCGATTTATATGTCATATATCTAGGGACATTGGGGTACGGCAAATTCAGATAGCTACAAAAAAAGTCGTCTGACTTCCTAGCGCCGCTTGAAGGGTTGTGGATGGGGTGCTGCAAGGTGCTGCCAAGGTCCTGTGAAGGTCAACTCATACAAAAGCATTCAAATCACTGGTTGTTCATTGTTGGTCAGAAATATATGTTGAAAAATGTTTAAAAAATTATGGTGCCCGTTACTTTTCGTCACCCTAGTATATGATATCAAGCCCGCTATCAAAGGATTGAAGACATTGAATGGTGAAAATCTTCGAAAATCTAATATTCACAATGAATGGTGGATCTACCAATTTCAGATACATTAAGCCAATCATGGATCTGTTGTCTTCAACTCATGTACATGAGCTGAACCACCGTGATCGAATACTATTTGCGATCTGTAGCTATGCTACTTACTATCATAACCATATGCTTCTCAGTGCTGCAGCGCTTCGTCCAAGAGTAGTCATATTCTGCAAGTCTGAAAGCATAGTCTTGCAAATACCGTAACAATATGCATCAAGAGCGATTTTGCAGAAGCACAAATGTGAAAATGAGCTTCTTGCATCTATGATTCGTTATCGTCTGACTAAGAGACACTGGACACAGGACGTTAAGTAGATGAGAAAAGCAGTAAAAAAGGAACAAGTCAATTCAAAAAGTTGTATCACCTTTGTGATGACTTTGAATTCATTGTTATCAGAATGTAAGCTGACAATTCTGACGTAATGGAAGCAGTGTGAGAAGTTCTCTCGTTTTAGAGTCAAGCTTGGAAAAAGACTTAAAACTCACCAAATGGAACTACATCGGTATTGGGTAGACATCATAACTTATAATAACGGGCTAAGGGTTGTTTACGTTTGTCTGTGTGTATGTGTGAATCTCTGTCTGTCACGAAATTCGTAGAGCGTGTTCCAGCCAACGTCCTGAGCCCGAATTTTGCATAGCGCATGCTACAAGCATGAAAGCTTACTATACAAAAGCATGCGCGGATCCGTTGAGTGGATCCGCTCATTGAAAATTGTGCGTCAAACGGATCCACTTGGCTTCTGGCCAGCAAATTTGGTTCCGTAGTACTACTTTTTGCAGAGTTAAGGATATTTGACAAGCTAATGTGCAAGCCATGGACGTTAGCCTAAAAAAGTAATGAAAAGTCTACTACTTTACGAAAACAGCGCCAAAAAGCATTCGCTGTGTAAACGATCAATTTTTCAAGATTTTATCTGATTATTTGAGAAGATTTTTGCACAGAGGTATAGCCCACTATGTTTATTATCCTTATGGCGACTACCAAGCCATAAAAATTCCAAAAGCCTATTCGAATTTGCATCGGTTCTTCTGGGAAAGATTTTATCCACGCGAAAATACCGATCTCACATCGAAAACCTCTACGAATGAGTAGTTGTTTACAACTTATTCGTGATAGTCTACATAGCGCGGTGAGTTTCAATGTCATTATTATGCGGGAATGAGTAAGGCATACAGAAAATAGGGCCAGTGCGAGCCTCTGCGAAGCAGAGGTGACGCACTGGTATAATATCACTTAATGTACTCCCCAGATCTCGCCTCACATTGGCATTGTCCCTTGCAAGCTATATGGACGATGCTTGTGTCGATTTAAAGTTAGATACGAATTGATAATCTGACTCAAAATGTTAGAAGTTCTCAATTTTTATAGATTTCACGTTAGACGGCCATTATATCATCTAAACGAAAGCAGGCCATCACTGATGCTTTTGACAAAAGCAGTATTTTTTAAGGTGTTGATATAGACTTAACACCATTGAAATCTCCCTCTCTTATGGAAGTAAGTTCAGTGGAAAAATTTCATTTCTATTATTGAAAGTTGTATGTAGGCTACATCGCAAATACCAGAAACCTTCATTGTGAAATGGTTCAGCTCGAGTCGCGTCTTTATAACGACACCGCCATCGTGGAACACTCAATGTGTGGTTTTCTTTGAAACTATTGAGACAAATAAGCTAAGGTACTGAAACGCTTTCTTACCTCATCTTGATACAAGCGTTGATAATATTAAGACGCAAATTTTTGAGAGTTCGAATCAACATTAATATACCTTACTGTGAACCAGAAGACAAAGTTACTCTTACTGGACTTATTGTTGATGCTGCGATGAATGACATCTCTACGGTTTATATAGAAATCCTCGACATTATAAGAAAAATACGGTGAGTATTCATGATATTGGATAAGAAAAATACAGTGAGTATTCATGATATTGGCTTCTTTGATCTCTTTCGGAATTGAACCGATCATTCTTTCTAGACACCATATATACTACTAAAATCCTGGGAAATCCAGAAATGTTGAGAAAGCTAGCAAGAACCATTTTCTCCAAAAAGAATTGGCACAAGCGCACTACTTCTCAAACAGAGAAATATCAAGAAATGTCGAAAATTCAAGCTGAGACCTTTTTGTCCGTCTCAACACCTTTTCGGACAAATGACGGTTCTCTTTTAGTCCAAGCTTGTGCCAGATTCTTTCATAGCTTACAAACCATCCATCAAGGACAATAAACACTAATCAGAATTTTCTTGGCGCACTTTGTGAGTCATATTCTGAGATTTACAGAAAAAAGCAGGAGAACCAAAAAGATAGCTTCTCTTCTTACCGTGAAGGATCTATGCAAACGGCTAATAGCAAAATAATAGCACATCGTGTAAGTATTGCCATCTTGGTACATTTTTTGCAGTTAAAGCTCATACATGTAATGTCTTATGCAGGCGAGAAAATGTCTGGAATTGGATCATCTGGCATATCTCAACCAGTATTATAATCAGAGCAGATGGGATTCATCTAACTTGAAATCCACAGATCTAAAGGTGAGAGATTAATTCATCTTACAGTTAGTTTTGTGCAAGTGACCTACATGGATTAAAGAAGGACTCGCTATGTTTCTACTGTCATATGACAAACGTGAACGACCTATTTCCATGTTCTAGTGGCGTAATATGTAAGCAATGTTTGGTGTCCAGTATCACTCGACAACTCTACACAAATCACTATCCTATAGAGATACCGGTAAAAGCTGACCAAGCATTTGCTCCACACTTCTTCAACCTTTCAGGTAATTACTATTTCTGATATGACTCCTATTGAACTTTTGTATGCTGTTCTGCCTATACCTGTGATGTCGGTGTTGATCAGAGTAAGACTTCGCTCATTACGTTGTTACCTTTACCTTTCAAGTTCGCAAACGTGACACCTTTCCCTTCGTGTTCCTGTCACACCTAAAGCGCTAAATCCCCTCTTGACGAAAATGGGTAGTGAAATTTTTGGAAGTAGCCCTACATTTTGATAATTTGTGAGTGTCAGGTGACTTTTTCAAAGTCACATACATGAGTTATGACGTAACTTATTTGTACTTGTAAACAATTTGAACAATTTGTAAAAATTCAAAAAATGCAACTAGCTTCTTAGAAAAGTTCTTCGGGTGCGCAGCTGTGCTATGCTATGTTTTTTAATCTTTCGGAGTTACACAAAAATTCTGGCAAACATCTCAAAAAAATTTCCGAAGTACCTGGCAGACGCCCGCACGTTCATTCCATAAAGAGTTTTGTCTTCTTTTTGTCTTGAAAATTTTGTTGCAAGTTTACTATAGCCATTCGTTGAGCAGGTAAACTTCAAGTATCAGTTGATTTTCGTAATCTAGCGGAATAAAACCTATAAAAGCCAACAAGAAAATAATCACACATTTCAGAATTCATTTGTCTTTTTCAAAGCGCATTATCCGTGTTTGATGTACTTGAACTGCCCTTGCTGCTCGGCCCCACTTATGTTGACAGAACATCAAGGTAAGGTCTTAATTGGTGGTTTCATAAAGTCTACAAAACTGAAATTTCAGAGCTTAACAGCTGCAGTTGCGATTGTGGATGCTCTTTCTGCTATCTTTGTAATTCAGAGCCACACTGGCCAATGACTTGCGAGCAATTCAAGCGCTGGATCAGCAAATGGGACATACAATGTAGCATTTGATTTAAACGAGATTGTCGGCTGGAAGGCGACCGCTCGCTCCCGCAACTAATCTGCGTTTCTCTCTCGCAAACGTGCCTCTCTAATCATTCTTTAGCCTTAACTAGGTCACGAAGCCCCGCCTTTTAGCCGCCAATCCAGTTGAATCGAAGAGTATTCAATTAGGGATTAGACCCTTAGTTCTCCCAAAATTACATAGGCCTTAAAGGCATCAATCCCATAATATTGACTCAAATGTTTTGGTCGTGCAGGAGCCTTCTCACGTCCCTGATTCCGAATATGAAGTCGAGAATCCGTAAAACTCCAGTAATCCCCGTTTCGAAGAATTCGCATGCCGGCTTTACGATACGGTGACTGGCTGGAAGCGCACAGATGGGCGGGTATGGATGGGGAAGGCGGTGCCGTCTGGGGGTCCTCGTGCATCTTCGTTATTCCGGAGTGATTTTCTCGCTTCCGAAGCGACATTTTGCGCCGCGACTTGAGCTTTGTGTTGATAGGTGGCCCTACTATCATAAACTGCCAAAAGTTCAAGACCCTCAACTTAGGATGGTGCCTTTGAGAGTTCGAATTGCTATCCCTTAATGCCAGCCTTTTCTTAACGGCCACTTATGCACTACTTATGAAAGCCTATGCAAAAGATGCCAAACTCTGTTTATACTTTTCTACATCATCGGAGTCTTATTAATAGCCTACAAAGATTCAGTTTTTCTTGCAAAGGGTCTTTCTTGTGCTGTTAATATGCATTTATCGTCTGTTTTTCTTTAGCACTGAAGCTTAGCTTTGACAAATAATCTTCGCTTTGATAAGCACTGTGCAGGATTTTGAAGGCCAGACTTTCGTGTTAGCAACTGCAAAGGCTGTCCTTGCTGCAGGTTCGACTCACAGAATCGTTTGTAGTCCAGCAATAAAGCCGCTATGGGTGGTTATGAGAATTATTCGTTTGGTTTTGCAATACATCCCTGCTGTTCTTGAACAGGAATATCCAGATAGAATTAGATGCTTAAAATTACTTAGAGTACTACCTAATTTTGGTTTGTTTGGAAATCGACGCATTCCTTACGCTATCGCGGCACTGTCAGTATAAAAACTTGGGAAGCTATCATTCAATAGAGCAAAGAAACTTTCACATGACTGCATTTGAACGATCACCAAAAGTTTGATTTAGATGTAATTTAAAAGCAAAATCCGAAAAAAATTCAAATACCCAAAAATCAGATCTATATCTAAATAGCTCCTGCGGCAACTTTTCACCCATATACACCCTCATCATGCATTTATATGCACACTTACCACATTTTTACAATGACTGAAAACTGGAAAATTGAAATGGATTAAAAGTGCGAAAACATCGCCTTTTTCGGATTTTTATGCTAAATCAATGTTTTCCGAAAGCTGAACGTTGGAGGAAGCTGAAGTCTTTGACAAGGTTTGTAGTATAGAATTAGCTAGGTCAGGATGACTCTTGTATTGCTGGCATTCGAGCTTTCATCTTCTCAGTTTCTAATCGTGGAAAAATTATTACAACTGTATATACATGTTTGATGTGAACATTATATCCCTGATTTTGAAAGTCTGCAGGACCTTTTTAGGCGGAAACATAACTTTTGAGTGATTAAATTTTCTTCAATATTGCTTTCAAACTTCAAGTAATTCAAACTTTTTGGTCCGTTCTGATTGGTTCCAATGCAGTACTTTAGAGTTTGCTTTGCTCTATCAAATGATATGTTTCTCATTTTTTACACTGCCGCATCGAGTAAGGAATTTGCATTAATTTTCGGAAAATCTAATGGATCGGAAACTTTTGTAAACGCTTATAAAGGGTTCATGTTTCTCCAACAGTCTGAGTTTTCCCTCCAGTTTGTCAAAGTTTTGCATACTATTTGTAAAGCGCTTCTTCTAACAATCAATGCTAGTGAAACAAAGACCTGCACTTTCTTCGAACTCACCCCAAAATCGCCCTATTCTGATTCTGGAATTTTCACCCTCACTTACTGCTAACTAGCCTACTGTCCTCTTCAACATGTGGCATTTGCTATGAATCTCTCCGTTTGGAATACATATGTGTTTTGCTCCATTCTAAGTCTTCAAGGCATTACTTGAGTGTTCCCTTAGTTTTGAAATGATTTAAAGTTCCTTCACGTACCCCTTGAGGCTCACGCAAACAGTTCCTCAACCTGCCTTTTTTAAAAACTGATCGCATAAGATTGCTAAAACCCTTCCGATGAGCTGATCGCAGCTAACGGAGTCCTTCTTGCCTGCAGTAATCTTTTTACTCCTCTTTAGCAAACAGAGTAGATTTAGAAAGAGTCGTTAGTAAACGAGAGACAAGTCAATTCCGATTTTCAGTTTTATTCGACAAGAATTACGTGGTTGGTGGAGGAAAAGTTTATATATGCTGCCAATGTGGTTATGCCTACGTTGTTTGTATCATTGACTAGTCGATATTCTTTCGTTAACAAACCATTTCAGAAGGATCCCAACTTGCCTGTTCATTCCACCGTGTACTGGTGCAAGAATAACTACAAACTGATGATACATTCAAGCACTGGCATGGTTACAACCATCCGTTCCCGGCAAAGGTTCAACGGCATATCGCTGTTCTTAAAGAAGTGGTGACATATTGTGATGAATGTGTATGCTGAAGAACCTGTGCCTATGAGGCCCCAATTAGAACAAAATTTCTTGCAGGGAACTCGAACTGGACCACATGCACTGGCAGCTAGACAAATAATCAGCAAAAGATACGTTAGCGTAAGTCAGACTTATATTAAAATCTTTTTAAAATTATTTCTATCGTTAAGCTATGCACCGAAGCTCGGAGACAGCGGACTGAGCTCCACCATAGTCAAGAATTCAGAAAATTTGTTGTCAAACTATTCGGCAATTTCAAGGAACGAGACGAAGTTGGTGATTTGCGCAAAGCGGTATGTCATCAGAGTTGATTGAGACGCATTGAACAAACTTTGTTCAGATCTTGACTTTGGTGGAAAACTGCACTGCTCGGATTTACATGGAGAAACCTTCCGATTGCATCCAGCTTAAGGCTGCGGTTTCCAAGCTCTTCAGACGACTCCTCGCTGTCCAGAGACGTACCTATATAGAGAGGTTTTTGCCTTGCATCACATGTGCGGATGATGAATTCTTACATTTCAGGGACGATTTCCGCGGAGACATTGAGAAGCTCAAAACGGCCACAAAAGATCTCATTACTTCGTTTGCAAACAAAATTCATGAAAAGGGAGTTTAAGGAACAGTTTCTGTCAGTGTTCACTGAGGGCCGCTCAGCTTTGTGTCTTTCAGACCAGATATTCAAATAATACCTCACATCTGTGATTGCCTTCCCTCTCAATTGTATGGTTGTAAAGAAAGTTCCCGGGCAGTTGCAAAATTTTTTTTCAAATCGCTGTAACTTCATGCAGATTGATTCTTTTTTGAAGCTACAAACTTCATTGCAAAGACAATTTTGTCCAAAACATATATTAGTCTTGCTAGCTACTCAGCGCCTCACTGCGGTCCACCAGCATGCGCAGAAGGGAAAAAGGTCGTAGCGAAAAGTGGCCTATTTGTGCAGGATTATCTCAGGCATGATGAGAGATAGAGAACCCAGATGCTGTAGTTATATAGAGGTCTGCTGGAGGTATTATAGAAACCATTCATGTTTTTGAAGGAGCACCTGCAAAAAATTTTTTCCCAGAAAGTTTGAAAAATCGGGCATTTTTTGCTCCTAAAAATGCACCATTTTTCGAGTAAGTTAGTTTGAAGTCTTCTAGTTCTGCACGAAAAGGATCAAATCTCTGATTACTGGGAACATTGTTGGGGTAATGCCTTGCACATCTTTTGGACCCATTATCCAGGCGTGGCGATCCCCGCAGAAGCGACGCCAGCTGCGAAAAGAGTTGCAGTCGGAGGCAAGTTCGACAACTTGTAATTTCTGAGCGCAAATCGCAAAACTCGAGTGCAGCTGCGGATCAGAAGTTAACAGGCTTCTCAATCGAACCACCCATGATTTGGACGAAATTCTTTGAACTGCACAGAAAAATGGCCGTAGGAAGAAAAATGGTGAAATTTTTGTGGTTGGAAAGATTTCTCTTCTTGACGTGCAGATCAAACACGTCTTGACATCGATAAAAGTCAGAAGGCTTGTTGAAAACCTCGGGCTTCTCCCTACTGAACAGTATAAAAAACTTGGTGTCAAGGTCCGACCGAGCGCCGAAAAAATGCGTTTGAAAATGAAATTTCCAAAAGTGCCCGGGAACTTTCTTTACAACCTAATACTTACTGGCCGATAACGCATGCAATCTCTTACCTTTCCAAAAAATGAAGAATCAGTTTGGTTTTTAGGGCTTGTTAGGTTTTGCTATCTATACATTCAAAGCAATTTCTTGTTTATTTGACGCTCAAGGCTTTTCAAGAAAGTTAGTATACGGTTGAAAGATTCTGCGCTGTAAAAATGGTCTTAATCTACAATACCGCTCACAAAGTATGCAAAATTTCCGTGAATACCGCGAAATTACGAAAATTCCGCGAAATTCCTGGAATTTCGCGAAACTTTGCGAAATTCCGGAAAGTTCGCGGAATTTTCGGAATTCCGCGACATTTTCGGAATTTCGCGACATTTACGGAAATTTTGCACATTCTGTGAGCGGTATTGTATGTGTATTTCCTTCCACTCATTCCATATACAATACCGATCATAATTCGTCAAAAAAGTCGCCGGAGTGCGGCGCACTCCGGCGCACTCCGCCGCACTCCGCCACACTCCGACGCACTGTAGCGCACTCCGCCGCAGTCCGCCGCACTCCGCCACACTCCGACGCACTCTAGCGCACTCCGCCGCAGTCCGCCACACTCCGACGCACTCCGGCGCACTCTAGCGCACTCCGCCGCAGTCCGGCGACTTTTTTGACGAATTATGAGCGGTATTGTATGTAGAGCAGTCTGTTATATCCCCCTTCTTCTTCCACACTGGTTTCGTTGCGCTCTTGTAGCAATCGTTGGGCATCTTCTTGCATTCTACAATACCATTCACATAACTTGCAAAATTTCCTTGAATGTCGCGAAATTCCGAAAATTCCGCGAACTTTCCGGAATTTCGCGAAATTCCTGAAAGTTCGCGACGTTTCGCGAAATTCCGGGAATTTCGCGGAATTTTCGGAATTTTGCGATATTCAGGGAAATTTTGCACATTCTGTGAGCGGTATTGTACTCGACGTGCTAACAACATTTCTCACATTGTTTTGCTGCTGGTGGCACATTGTAGGATAGATTATCTGCCAAATTACACGACTTTCGAATTTGAAAGAGAATTCATGAGAAGGCGATTTTGTAACATCATAATCTGACGAACAATTCAAATAAAGATCTGTGCTAAGCATGGTCCGATAGAGGTGTTCACAAAGTTTTCAACTCACAAAAATTTGCAGACAATTTCCGCAACAGGTAGGGGAAAAGTGCAGGCGAAGTTGCGATCTTGATTGGTTCAGCTACTTCTATCTCGCTTTAGCTTTACTGTAAGACTCTCTAGTGCAAAATAAATAGGATTTTCGTAAAGATCGGGACCAAGAACCACTATGAGTGAAGTTTGCGGTCAATCCGAAAACCTCAATATTTTGACCAAATTTTGCGCCGAGGCCAAGAGTGAGGAGCGATCGCGCTATATCAATGTGTATTGCTTCTAAGAAGCTGGAAAAAATGTGTAATGTATAAGTATGAAACAGGTGTCTAACGTGATTTTTGGGGGAATTACGGGGCAACTTTGGGAGAGCCGATTTTACGTCCTGAGCATGCATGTTGGGGGGCTAATAACTCTGCGAATATTACAGCTACGGGGTTGGGGTTTGTTTTATTCGACAGATCTCTGAAAATATGATTTTTAGAGAGAAGGTTGTGAATAACAAATTTCCATTAAAAGTGCCTAATTGACAGCCGAACTTGGGAAATCTGTCAACAAGGGCGACTTCGGCGCCTTATATCTCTACGAGTTGCAGGGCTGGGGTAATTTCATGTGGCCATTGACATGTAGTTTTTGTAGCTCTATTTTTCTGGGGGTAGCTTGTGCCTAGAGATTCCCTGTAGGAGGCGCTATATAAGAGTAGTGCATATTTTGAATTTTATCTCCGTGGAGACTAGGGATGACGGGCTGGGATAGCCATTCTTCAGTTTGTATTCGAGGGGGACACCACATATAATTCGGAGAAAATGTAGGGGCTCCGCCTGTGGGAGCCCATCTATAAACCTTCCCGGACTTGTTTTTTTTTTAGTTCAGGGTCTCGCAATTTCTCCTCTTTCTCCCCCCTCATTTTTCCCTTTCTCTTTATTTGTGCAGCGCGTGTGATAGCTACCCGCGGCCATCTGGACCTGGTTAGGGGGCGGAAACCGGCTAGAAAGGGGTAAATAAGCTTAGAAAAACGCGATTTTCGCTTATTTTCCCTTATTTTTTCTTAATTTTTCTTATTTTTTTCAATTTCGATCGTGATGTGGGGGTATAAAGTGGGCGGAGCTTGCTTGGAGGAGATTCAGCTGTATAAAAGCACTGGAAATGAGCTTATTATGGAGTTTTTCGAATTTTTCGCTTAGTTTTTCGATAATTTTACCGATTTCCGAAATCTCGAAACCTTCAGAATATCGATTTTATCGATTTTTGTCAATTTTCGGGATTTTGCAACCTTCAAAATATCGATTTTATCAATTTTGCCGATTTTTGGGATATCGATTTTCGTCAATTTCTGGGATTTCGCAACCTTCAAAATAATGATTTTATCGATTTTTTTCAATTTTCGGTATTTCAAAACCTCCAGGATATCGATTTTATCGGTTTTTGTCGATTTTCGGGATTTTACAGCCCTCAGAAGACCGATTCTATCTATTTTTGAGGATTTGGTGGTTCATCAACCTCCAAAATATCGATTTTTCGCTTTTTAGCTGTGAACTGTAAGCCCCGCCCACTTATGATATTACTATACAATACCGCTCACAAAGTATGCAAAATTTCCGTGAATACCGCGAACTTCCGAAAATTCCGCGAAATTCCTGGAATTTCGCGAAACTTCGCGAAATTCCGGAAAGTTCGCGGAATTTTCGGAATTCCGCGACATTTACGGAAATTTTGCACATTCTGTGAGCGGTATTGTATAAGCTATAAATTTCATACAAATTTAGACATTGAGAAGTCAACGCCTGTAATTATGAAAAACAATGCTCCTCTTTTCCCGTATACCTCATTTCGTCCTATTGTGAGGGTAACGAAGAAGCTTAAAAAAAAAGGAGGTTTAATTGTTTAGTTCTCTTTCACACTGCCTAATCCTTTTTTTTGAGAGTCAGAATTTTTTCAGCGTGACTTGCTTTCAATAAGTCCTACGCAATAGTATACAACTGCACCTCACTCCCTCTTTATACAAAATTTCTTCTATCGGAATTTTATGCATCGACTGAGTTTTCTTAGTGGAACCACAATTTCTCTTATCATTTTTTAATTTTTGCTGTTTTTTTGACAAATCTATTTCCGGTTTTTACCTCCCGATTGAGTTCACATATAAGATGCGACTGATATAAAACAACATAGCACTTAATCTAATTTTTTAATGAAGTCGACTGCCGCCAGGAACTCTTTTCATGCTTTAGTTAGAAAATGTTCTTAAGCGAATAGCCAACTGCAATTTCACATATTTGAGCATGAGCGTCTCTTACTTGGAAAAGAAGAGCACTAGGTTAATTTTAGGAATGTCATCACATTTCTTTTGATATAAGAAACGAGAGACAATGACAAAAGCTCAGTATGAAAATTGACTTACACATGTAGGGGGTTTTGGCGGGACAAGGCGATAAAGAAGACGATAATGAAACATTGATAACTAAGGCCAGTTGACCTGACACACGCCTTGCGTTTACATAGCATCCTTACTTATTCAACACCAAATTTAAAAATCATCTAAATGAGATATTTATCTGCTAAGAGGAAGAAGGACATAAATAGCCGGCAAATTCAACTACTACTTTCCGAATACATGATTTTTTGAATGCATCCGACAAAATCTCTGTTAGTTTCTTACAGTTGGAGATTGTTTGATATTACCGTATTTCCAAGTGTGGCCTTATTCACTGAGAACGAATACCAAAGAGATCCTACAACAGTTTTTTAGTGTGAGGTGTCCCTGTTAGCAGAAAAATTTCCGAAGTGCGACTATTTGGCGAGTCACATGTATAGAAACACGCATTTGTTCCGCCGACTTTCACAGCACAATGCGCTGC